CTTCCAACAGAGTGGATGTAGATTTACCCCATCTGCTGAAGTCCTGCAAAGAAATTATTTCATCACAGTCTGAGAAGGTGTGGAAAAATCAGCAATCTCTAGAGCAGATTTGTTCTCCAGACTTAAAACCTGCCCGGCCAGCAGGCTTGGTTCTCCAAGTAGCTAGATCTGTAACCTCGAGGCTGATGGGGGCTCTGTGGAACTGTGCAGCCTCCGTAGTTTGGACCCAGTTTGGTTTTTTGGCATAAAATATGTAGAAGGTGCTGGCCCCCCTCTCAGACTCATGATTATTGTAGAACTTCAGAAGTTAGCATTTCATTTGAGAGGTCTAATTTGTTAGGCCCTCTTCCTTCTTTTGAGAGCACAACGAAACACTCAGAAATACTGATCGCTAGGAGAATCATGTGGCCTGTTTAAGAAGAATGTAAAGAGGATGCTGAGTCCTGGGTGACCAGTTTCTTAGAAAATTACTGTAGAAAGGATTAGAGAATGTCTTAAACTTCTTACAGTTTCTTGAGGAAATAGGGTAAAAGATGCTCTTTGAGTGCAAAATAATCCCATAAAGGAATGATTTTTTTTAAACCTCCCATTTATATAGTGACATCTTGTATCCAGCTGCCCATCTGGCAACTTCAAGGTTTCCTTTTCGTTTCTTTGATATAGAAATGACCTGCCATTAGGTCTGCCACTGGGCCTGTTTAATTGGTATTAAAAGAGAGTGCCTCCTTTGCCAGATCTGATCTGGTTTCTGGCGGAAACTGTGAGTGACCAGCCAATCTTTGCCCTGGAGCTGCAGAGAGAAGCCAATTACCTTACTGTGTTCTCCAGAGGCTGTAGGGACTCAACTTATGAAAAGGATAACTAGCTTGTTGCTACTTCATGTGTGAAATTTTAATGAATTACTGGCAGCCTAATGGTTTTCTTTCTTCCTTTTTTTTTTTGAAAAAACAAAACCCCAAAAAGCCTGTTTTAGCATTTTTTAACTAATAGCACTAACAAGAATTTTTGATTAGGCTGTCATTCTTGTTTATTGCAATTGATGGATTTCTACTTTTTGTGGAAATGTTATATATGCCCTCTGGGGGGTTTTCATTTTATAATTAAAGTGCTCTGCAACCTTATAGGTATGCTCCAACTGAATGCTCCTGTGTACACACAAATCGGTTTAGTCCTTAAAGGTAATTACATCTGACAATAGGAAATTAGGAAATGCCAGAATGCTTATGTAAAAAAGGGAAATGTTTCTTGGGGGGTGGGGTGGGAGGCGGAGTTTTCATTCTAAAATATCAGATGCTTTACAATATTATAAGCTCTTTCCTTATAGACAGCAGGTATAAATCCTCAAGGGATAAACTAAGAGAAATTTGCTTTTCATGCAAAGGAGAATAAAAATAAAAATAGATGCTAATCTTCATTTGTGATCCTTTTCTTGTTCTCCTACCTCCAGATCATAGGGCGTTATTTCTCCAGGGTTTGTTTGCAGCTCTCTTCTGTGTTACAATCAGTTATTCCGTAATCACCTCATGGGGGCTTCTCCGGAGACCCTATCCACTGCATTGCAGGGAATATTCTCCATTAATGCTGTGAGATTGCCATGGAGACAGATTGCCTAGTGTCAGGTCCTGCATAGTGCTGGGAATTTACAATCCCCAGACGTGTCTGTGAGCTGGACAGTGTAGTTACCAGGGACGCTTCTGGAAGTCATTTGCTCGGTCCTTTGAAGGGCAGCGGTGTTTGGGAAAAACCTGTTCTCGGTTCCTCTCTGGGCAGGAGCTGTGCTCTCCCCCAGACACCCTCTGCTTTTGTTCCTGCGTGTTGCTGCTTTGTTCTTCTCGGCCTGAACGGCTGCTGCAAAAAATAATCCTGACTGCCTGACCTTTAGAATAAAAACTGGGATGGGCTCGCTGTTTAGATGTAGTTTTGTGGGGGACATGCTGATGCTTCGATTCAGAGGATTGTTCAAGGGAAACCAGAAAACCCGCTATAGGTTTCAAATATTGTTTTCACAATAATAAAAATAAACCCAAGCTAGTGGAAAGCAGCGGCATAGCGCAGGGAGATCAGCTTGGTGCTTTGTGACCACCTAGAGGGGTGGGATAGGGAGGGTGGGAGGGAGATGCAAGAGAGAGGGGATATGGGGATATATGTGTACGTATAGCTGATTCACTTTGTTACGCAGCAGAAACTAACACAACATTGTAAAGCAATTATACTCCAATAAAGATGTTAAAAATAAATAAACCCTAAAGGTACTACTCGTATGGCTGTATTGTATTGAGCTCTAACTACCAAAGGTATTGTGAAGACCCCAGAAACACTAATCTCAGGATAAGTAAAAATGATATTTTATCTGCAAAACCTAAAAAGTTGACAATTCGTCAGGAAGAGGAGGGGATAAGAGATGGACTTTTGTGTTTTTTTACATATACTAGTTTAATTAATCTTTAGAATAGTGCTGTGTTAAAGGCATTGTTATTTCCTCGCCTGTACAAAAAGCGAGAGGTTGAGCAGGAAATGGCTTGATAGGTGGCTTAGTGTCCCGCTTTGGCACTGACCATGTTTATGCAGTGTCTGTTGGTCACTTTCAGGTGCCTCAGAGCAGTGTTGGCTAGCTTGTTGAACCTCTCTAAACTGGGACAACTCTGGAACTTTGTAATGCTATAACTTCTCAGTGGAAGACGAGGGCAGCTTTAGGGGTAGTCAAGCCTGTGACTTTTGGCTAGAGCAGGTCACCCACTGCTAGGTTGTGGGATTCATCCCTGACTCCTGCCCACCCAGACAAACGGAAATACGCGCTGGGCAACTCCTTAGCTCACCCCAACCTCACAATATCACTGCCTCTGTGGCCATTTGGAACCAAAGAATGCAGGGAATATGTCCTTTTCAGATGTTTTTGTATCTTACCTCTGGACTTGGGCTGAATTGGCCTGTGGACAATATGACTATATTCTGGCTGGTTTCTGGTCTAGTGCAGTTAAGAATTTCATCTTCGTTATGCTTTAGCTGGAAGATCAATTCATACTGCACTGGATTGCCCTGTTCACAAATTTCCGAAGCTAGGATTGAAAAATTAGAGAGAGATACAGTAGTCATGATCCGAGTGGGGGAAGGACATTTACCAGTGTTAGTGGTGAAATTCTCTAGAGAAGGAACAGAGTTGGAAGGTAGAGTAGAAGGAGGGCTTTCAAGTTTTAGTACATACTCTATGGTTAAAAAAAGATATTTACATATATATTTTTATAATTTTATATATATATAATGTTTTGAAGCACACACAAATCCTTAGGAACTAGGACACGGTACTGCTTTTATAGCCCATGGACATAGCAGGCTCTAGATAATATAGATCCTTTAATCGGGTGAAATCCGGTCTGCACACTAAGGTTGTTGATGGATGCTTCAAACCAGGAATTGGAACTGAATGAAATAATGATTTGGTTCAGATTCAATTCAAAGGCTACTCAGATATTCTGGTTTTGTTTCAGGTCAGTAATTTTAGAAAAAGGCTTAGGTACAGTACAGTGTAGTTGAGCTTCAGAAGAAATGAAGGTTGGCTCAGTTTTGTATCCAGCAAAGTAATCATTTATTCCAGGCTTTGCTTCAAGTTGCTGCTTCAAATGGAACTGTGATACCAAGGTGAGATCATTGAGTGTTAATTTTATTTGGTGTGGAGGCCTATGGTACCGTTTTGTGATTATCAGGTGAGATAATGGAGTCTTAAGCAGCAAAGCTAACCCATCACAGTGCTTTGTTTATATTGAGATAAATGTACACAATCAGTGTTCAGGTGGGTTTCTTGAGACTTGATATATACTGTTCATGAAGCCATGGATTAGTTCAGTTCTTCTCTCCTTTGTTTTTGGGTGTCTTTTTTTTTTTTTCTGTGAGAAATTCCCTCTGGCTCAGGACAGTCTTCCTGGGGAATTTCCACAGAATGCATTTTACGGGCTGAGAACTGGGTGAGGCTTGGAACGTTGCAGACACTCACTGATTGTAGCAAACTGAGTGTGAAACTGATGGTAAACATTGTGATGGAAAAGTATGTTTGGTTTTGGTTTGCTTTCCAAGAAGATATTTAAAAGACACAGTTGAGCCACATGGTTTTCATAGACTCCTTTTTATGCAGTCTGTCTTTGCAAGGTGGTTTTCTTGTTGGGGATAGCGGCTGACCAGCTTGAGAACTTCACCTGTTCCCTCAATTTCCGTGGTCACATTTGGTAATAAATACTTCCTTCGAAGGCCCCATAAATGCTCCTCTGCAGACCGAGAAGCGGTATATGCAGAGTGTCTGCATGATATTCTAGATGGGCTGCTTTTTCTTTCCTGGGATTACCTGATATCACAAGAAATTATTCTGTTTGAACTCTCCAGTTGAGACAGTTAATTCTGACTTCCTGGGGGAGAGAGTGGTAGTGGGATGTGTGTTTGTGCGATGTCAGTCAGAGTTCCCGGGTCCGGGGCTACCCTGACTTCCTGTTTCAGAGGGAGAGATTCTCAGAGTCTGAGGATTTGGGCCCTACGGTGTTCTATTAACAATGGCGAATTTGTTCCTTGATTTGGCTGTTTCTATTAATGAAACAGTAACCTAATTAATTGTAATTAGGATGCCTCAGAGGTCTGTCTCCCTTTGAATCAATCGCTAGAGAGAATATGATTCTAGTAAAGCCCTAGCATATTCCTCAACAAAGAAAATTGTATGTAAAATTTCTGGGTATCGCTGCAAAGTTGGAGAGCTTGTGTGGTTGATGGAACCAGTTTACTTCAGTGATGCATCATGGGGTAGGGAGTGTTACATAGTCTCCTTCCTTAGACCGATTTTGGTCAATTCACTGCGACCTTTCTTGTCAAATAGAAAGAACACAAGCTATAAACTCTATGCAACAGCTCCTTATTCTGTCCTCTGTGTCTTTTTCACGGGACTGACTATTTCTGGACCTCTTCCTGGAGGGCTGCATGCTGAATTCCTTCAATCCCTAACTCCTCTCGGCTGTGCTTTGCAGGAGAAGCTGTGCCTGAGGATGAACAGATCAGTGCTAAGGACCAGAAGTCCCTGGAGCCCTGTGATAACACCCCCGTCATAGACAACATTGTTCCTGTGGTTGCTGGCATCTCTGCAGAGGAGAAGTATGATGAGGAGATCTCCAGCCTCTACCGACAACTGGATGATAAGGTCTGTAGTCAGAGATAATAGACCTCACACTGGTACAAAAACTAAAAGTAGCAGGTCCTAGATTTACTGGCTGGAAGCAGCTCAAGCCCCACAGAACTGATGTAGGGCTGCAGACTGATGTTTGTGCCTGTCTTCCTAGTATTTACCCTAGCTCTTCATTGGGCAGACTCAGGGAACTGGATTCATGTGGAATGGAAACTTGATTGGAAGAGTGGAGTGTTGACCTGGGTAGACAGAGTCTTCACGTCTAGAAATTGGATGGGGCCTTATCACTGCACGAGAGTGGAGGCTGCGTGATCTTTCTTTAATTGTCCCTTGTTTTCTTCTCTGGGCCTGTCCATCACCTCTTGCAAATTCCAGCAGTGTCCCAGCTATAGGGGCAAAGGTGGTAGCTCCCAAAACTCAGGTGTGTACTTTACTTATGTAGCTCTAAGACCCTGCAATGAGGAGCCAGTAGTAGCGGCATCTGTAAGGCTGTTTTCAGGGGCATCCTCTTGAACGAGGTAGTTTGGACATGCTGGGATGTCTAATTTCATGGCAAACTTTTGGGACTCAAAGAACCATGTCAGTGCACAAACTGGAATGAAGGAAAAGAGATCTTGGAGTACACTGTATCATTCATTCCCAAAGAAGGTCGGGTTAGGAATCCCAGAGGCAAAGGAAATTAAATTGATGTTTCACGTGATCTTGGCGTATTGCCCTTGGAATATCTAAATCCTTTCAGTTCATTTCATCAAGGTTGCTGATATTTTTAGTCTGATTTAATCTTTTCTGCTGTGGTTCAGCTCAGAGTGCTTGGGGACACCTCTGGCTTGGATGAAACAGCTTTGTTATGTTAACGTTGTCATTAATCTTACAGGCCTGTCTCTTCTGAGTAAAACTCAGAGTCTGGTATCACCTTCACAAGGGAAATGTGACTGGTTGCCATAAGGAAGCTGGTTCTCTTTGTGCTTATGACTCTGGGGGTTTGCATTGTAACTGCAGTGTTAAACTGGGGTCACCCTACCGTTTGGGTAACATTTAATAAGATATTCACACCGTGAGAGCTGGGTTAATTACTCTTCAGGCACTAGACATAGTTACCCTTCCATTTTTACACAGGTGTTTTATGTAAAACCTCAAACAAAATGAGAGAAAAGGGAGATCAGTAAGTTAGTGAATACTGTCTGTGGATTTCTCGATTTCTCCAAAGAACTGCTATTGTTTAATAGCATTTAGAATTGATGGTTCATTTTTAGTATCCCCAAAGAGTCCTGGATGTGGGGGTGATATCCTGATTCCGCTCTCTATTCTCTATGAATAGAAGCCCGCAGTGATTGGAATTGGGATCTTTTACCTTGGCAGCATGAGGATTTCTCTTTGCTCTGAGGGAGACTTTAGAGTCTTGACTCCCGCTCCTAAAGTGTAGGAAATGCCAGGCCTTGGCAGTTCTCAGTTGGTAGCTGGCAGAGCTGACCCTAGAGCCTCTGCCTCCTAATGACCAACCTAGGACATTTTCTGTTATATCATTTTCCTTTAGCGTGTGTTTTGAAAACCCTGTTAAGCACACATTTTGAGATTACCATGTGTGGTCCATCACAGGGTGATGCTGAGAGATCTGGGAGAGGACTGAGCCCCAGAGCCTCAGCCTGGGGAGGGGGGCACCAAAGCTAGTGGTTTGACCTTCATATCTCTACCCATGGATGGCCTGATTATGACTTGTCAGTTGTCATTCTTATTTGTCCTCCTCTTAAAGGTTCTAGGAGCTATTTCATGCTTCTGATGAGGTAGGTGGTGTGATACTTTTGAGAACGCATGAGTCGGGACAGGGCACCTTCACAGATTATTAGTGGCAGCGCTGAAAGTATCTAAGTCTAGATGAGAGGCTAGCCCAGGGTGGTTAGGTGACTTACATCACCTGTAGGTGGCAGAGCTGCAGTGAGATTACACATCTTCTGACTCCCAGTCCGGTGCTCATCCCATTTTGGCCTTAGCCCTTGAAATGAGGAACTTTTCAGCTCTAATGAATTTGTCTAGAATGTGGTGGGAGAAAGCCTATGCGGTCTCCTCCCTGCTGCCCCCTCTGTCCCTCCGTGCTGCCCCTCCAGGGGTCTAAGGACAGGTGCTTTTCCAGGGCAGCTCTGTGTGATGGAAAAGCATGCATGTTATTATTATTTTTTAATACTTAATTTTTTTTTAATGGAAGTATAGCTGATTTACAGTGTAGTGCCGATCTCTGCTTTCAGCAAAGTGACTCATACACGTATAGACATTCTTTTTTTATATCCTTTTCCATTATGGTTTATCACAGGATATTGAATATAGTTCCCTGTGCTATACAGTAGGACCTTGTTGTTTATCCATCCTATATATAATAGTTTACATCTGCTAATCCCAAACTTCCAGTCCTTCCCCCACCCCCGCCTTGGCAACCACTAGTCTGTTCTCTATGTCTGTGAGTCTATTTCTGTTTTGTAGATAGGTTTATCTGTGCCATATTTTAGATTCCACATACAAGTGATATCATATGGTATTTGTCTTTCTCTTTCTGACTTACTTCACTTAGTATGATAATCTCTAGGTGCATCCACATGCAAATGGCATTATTTCATTCTTTTTATGGCTGAGTAGTATTCCACTGCATATATACGTACCACATCTTCTTTATCCATTCATCTGTTGATGGACATTGAGGTTGTTTCCAAAAAGCATGTACTTTAGAGTCAGACCTGTGAGTTAACAATGCTGAGACCTGGGCCGGTGACCCACCTGCTGAAGATGTTTTTCTCATCTGCAACATGGAGTTCGCATCTGTTACTTTAAAAGGTTTCATTGGGGAGTAAAAGTTTCTAAGACATAGCAGATGCTCAATAAATATTGGTTTCTTTCTTTCTTTTCTGTCTTCTCCCTTTGTTTGCTTAAGGGAGAAGCCACATTATATATGGTATCAGAGGGGTGGTGGTGCAGAGGTGGGCTGAAAGCAGAGTTGTAAGATAGACAGCTCAGCACTGGTACTGTCTCTCTTATTCCCCATCACCTCTCCAGAGCTTCTGTACTGTTGGAGTTGTAAGAGAGGAATTAATTGTAAGTAGTTGAACCTCATTTCACTGATTACCATTGCAACAAAAGCATCTTCATAATTAAAGGTGACCAGTGACCTGTTGACGGCTCACTTATTTTATTCCAAATACCAGAATATTTTTTGAAAGGTGCCTGGAAAACCATTATCCATAGACAGATCTTAACAGTTGGCATCAGAGTGAGGCTGTGTAAACATGTTCTAAGAGGTGCACTTGAATGTATAGATACAGACTGCACAGCACATCCTACGCTGAAAGTTTTGAAAATTAAAAAGAATCACAGTAGACTATGCTAATTCCTTAGAGAAGTTTCCTTAAGAAAGGGTAAGTGTAGTTTTGGAAATGTCTCTGATATGTGATTCGTGTCCTTATAATGTAATCCTTGTTCTTCATCCCTCCCAGATGGGCTAAGGGCCCTTAGTTTCTCACGGTACCTCAAAAATCACTGCATCGCAGCCCTTCACCTGTCAGGAGCAAGCCTGCGTCTCAGGCTTTGGAATGAACACAGTATAAGAACAAAGCACTTGCACTACTGTTTTGCTTCTCTTGTGATTTATATCACTTGTAGCTGTTGCTCATATGTCCCAGGGGAAGAGATGGTAGCTCCCCCATGTTAAACTTCTTAAGTCTTTTATGTTAAGATGTTTAATATTTATGTGCAGAGGGACATAAGCGCAAAATTGTTCCTGGTAAATGACATTCTAAGTTTATAAAGTAGAAGAGAAAATATGCCCAACATATAGTCTTCTCACTGTGGAAATACCATTTTTGGGGGCAGGTTTCACTCTGATATAACTTCCCTAATTCTCCTGCCGGAAATCTGACTTGAAGTATTTTTTAGAAGCATTAAAGAATTTTAAATTGTAAAACAATTTTCAAAATTTCAGAGTAAGTTGTGCTGTGCAGTCTGTATCTCTACATTCAAGTGCATCTCTCAGAACATGTTTACACAGGCTTGATGCCAGCTGTTAAGATCTAGTCCGTGGATAATAGGTTTCTGAGCACTTTTCGGAAAATATTCTGGTATTTGAATTTTCTTATGCATAAAATAGGTGAGTTGGTGCAAAAAGTTCAGTGGAAACAGGATCTCCCTGAGCAGAGAAATATGCCCCAAAGATGTTCTACACAAAGGAAAAGGAGATGCAGATCTCATAATATTGGCATTAGAATTTTCTTGCTCCATGGAAAGCATCAAGTTGTGATTTCATAGATTTTTACATTTAATCTGATTTAAATGGATGCACAGACACGACCAAACAGGCAGGAAAATATCCCACGGGAAACTGAGGTTCAGCCACCTTGGCCCTTGAGTTTACCCTCTTCCCTCCCACGCCCTGGAAAAGGCAGAAAGCACAGTGCAGGTTTCTTATGGGCTGCACATGGAAACACCTGGGCAGCTCCTGGCACAAGGACGGACACAGTAACACTGAACTGGATCCGACTCTGCTTGGGGTTTAGACCCCAGAAGCATCACCACAGAGAATTTCCTCCTGTTCCTAAGGGGAGGCACATGTGAAGCCAAGCTGTCTTTCTTCACAGGCTGTGCTTCACAATTTCGTTTGAACTCATGAAAATCCTCGTAACCAAGACCGAGTCTCGTGCGGTTAGGCCTGCTGGGTGCCTGCTGCTTTCCACACCGGGTGGACCGCATCTAAGGAGGGGAGAGGCAGAGGTGCCTGCACGGGGCCGCGAGAGGCCGCGGTTCTGGCTTTTGTGGCAGCAACACCTAGTGGCAGACGTTGAGAGTGAGAAGAGTGAACTTGCCTGTGGGGAGATCCTTTCCCACTTCAGTGACAGGCCAGAAAGGAAGCAATCACGGTTCTGCACGCCAGCTTCCTTGAGGTTTTTTCAGACTGGTAAGAAAATTAGCTCCTAATCAAAGGGAGCTCTGTAATGCCAAAGATTAATTCTCTAGTAAATGTTTTCCAGTTTCTCCAAAAGGTTTGAAGTGGAAATACTGGTCTCTTCTACCTATCAAATGGCAGTGTTCCCGGTCACAGATGTGTTTAACAAGATTTGAGACATGTATGTATTACAGTGCAGGTGATTAGAAATTCACTCCCTTATTTTTTGAGCTAGGAGTTCACTGTTAACATCTTTAAGCTGGAGGGATAGCTCCAAAGTTCCTTTCGGTTCCCAAGCCCTTCATCGCCGATTTCTGGATGAGCAGGAATTGAGTTGAATGTGTAGGATGTTGTATTTCCCAGAATATCCAGATGTTTCATTGGCTGAGCAAGGTGGGCAAATCGGTATTTTAACCAATCTCTCTTCTGCGGGGAAGCACCACACCATTTCCTTCATCTTATCAGCCAGCTTATAGCTGGCATCCTGGTATCCAACGGTCATCCGTCGAGAAACCAGGATAGCAAAAATGACATAACTAACCACACAAAATTAAATATGGTATTTCGTTTCAGGATGATGAAATTAACCAGCAGAGCCAGCTGGCTGAAAAGCTAAAGCAACAGATGTTGGATCAGGATGAGGTAAAGAATGCAATAAAAAATTTTTTTTACACAGCTCTTTTATGACTCTGTTGTTGATGTTTGTTCCAGAAATTTAACTGGCAAAGAGTTTTTTAAAAATCACTGCATCATGTGAAAATGTCTTGGAAGATTTCCTTTCAGTGCCTGCTGAAAGCTGATTTTAGGGGAATTTAGAAAATAAATGTGACTTCCTAGAACTCTAGGGTTTTGAGAGTGCGTGGCTGGCTGCTACACAGTCTATGAAGGGCAGAAATACAGGAGCTTGGAGGTCGGGCAAGGATGATCCTGCTTCCTCATACTCAGGGCCCAGCACTCCTGGTTTGTGCCACTTCTGCCTTTCTTCGGCTTTGCAAATCAGACAGCTCAGGACTTTGATATACACCATGTCCTTGTGCTGTCTTGTAGGGAAGAAAATAGCCCAAAAACAAAAGTAGAAGGTAGAGGAGAGGAAAGCAAAGAAGATAGGGGTCCAGGTGCTGCGTTAGAATATATGTGATACGGTAACGAGGAGGGAAATTTTTTTCAGTCTCCTCCTGGATGGCATTCAATTCTCCAGTAAATGTCTCTATTGTATTGTGTTTTGCCAAGCACTTTACAAATAGGAACCTAAGCAGAGAACAGATAGCCAATCTATCAAACACAGATGATTCGTAATTCTCTTACTGAGGACATCTAAGTATGTTTTCTCTTTTGTGCTTTAGGGTGCTTTCTGCTTTGTTGCTAGAATGCTGTGAGTTGGATCATATGATGCAATTATAGCAAGTGGCTTAAGTTCATGGCCCCAGTCCCAGCCCTCTCGTAGACATAACTCTCTCTCTAACGATCTTTTTCTCTTCCTCTTTGTTATCCTTCATCTCTCCAGGACAATGATTATGCCCTCTGCCCAAACACTTCCCTTGGCAGGAACCATATTTAACTGATTCCCCTTTTAACTAGAGTTGAGTCTTCATTTGCTTTGTGTTTCCTGCCGTCTTCCTCCCATTCTGTTCCTTTTCATCTCCAACTTGGTACAATTGCCTGTGATAACCTTTCCTTTTTGTTACAGTTAAAACTCTTAATATTTTTTTTCTCTACTATCAAGGCAATATCTGTTCATTACAGGAAAATCAGAAAATACAGTAAGCACAAAAATAATGAAAGTATCCGTAAGCTCAGTCATTCACTTTTAACTAGTTTTAATGTTTAGGGTATATTCTTCTATAATCCATGATGAATATTAAGAAAAATTAGTGACTGCCCTTTTATACTGTTTTGGTTGACTCTAAAATCGACCTGTTTACAATGTGAAATAATGATAATAGTAAGTATTATTATAGTCCTTGGAAATTATTCCTTCTCGTCCTCTGTTCAGCTTGTGGAATAGCCAGCCAGCTACAAAGTCTGGTGATTTATTTATTTATTTTTTTGCGGTACGCGGGCCTCTCACTGCTGTGGCCTCTCCCGTTGCGGAGCACAGGCTCCGGACGCGCAGGCTCAGCGGCCATGGCTCACGGGCCCAGCCGCTCCGCGGCATGTGGGATCTTCCCGGACCCGGGCATGAACCTGTGTTCCCTGCATCGGCAGGCGGACTCTCAACCACTGTGCCATCAGGGAAGCCCTGTTTTTTTGTTTTGTGTGTGTGTGTGTGTGTGTGTGTGTGTGTGTGTGTGTGTGTGTGTGTGTGTGTGTGTGTGTGGTGATTTTTGATGTGTAATCAATTCTTGGAGTTAAGCCTATGTAGCTTTAAAAAAGAAAGAAAAAAATTAAGAAAGAAAGAAACAGAAACAGATTTTCAAAACAATACGCTATTTTTTCATTTAGCATCTGGATATATAGTAGCATTTCTAGTTATCCTGAGCTTTTCAACTTATTTTCTTTTATCTGTTTTTTTAAAAAATTACATTATTTTGGATAGAGCACAGAGCATAAACTCTTGAACATTCGATTCACCAGTTCCATGCCATCTAATTTCCCCAGCTTTTAGCTTCTACAAGAAGAGACTATGAGAAGATTCAGGAGGAGCTGACACGTCTCCAGATTGAAAATGAGGCAGCCAAAGATGAGGTGAAAGAAGTTCTCCAGGCCCTGGAGGAGCTGGCTGTCAATTACGACCAGAAGTCACAGGAAGTGGAGGACAAGACCAGGGCCAATGAGCAGCTGACAGATGAGCTGGCCCAGAAAACGGTTGGAGCATTTGTGTGTAGGGGGCAGGACTTCCTCAGCAGCCAATCGTGTACTTATATTAATGTTTGCTGACAGACACTGTATAGCAAGGCAGTTGGCTGAGTGGTTTTTCAGTGTTAGGCATAAGATGCATTGTTTGAAATCCTCCAGTTATTGAAATACTTTGTGTAAGTGATTTGTCCATTCCCCCCGGAACTGCATGTCAGAACTGTTTTATATCTAGGGCATTTGTAACACCAGCAGGGATGCCTTGTAGGATAGTCAAGAGAGCACAGACTTTGGAGCCAGACAAATCCTAGCTAAAAATTTAGGCCTTAGTCGAGACATTTAAACTTGAATATTCATTTCCTTATCTGTAAAAATGGCGATAATAGCATGTTCCTTTCAGGGCGTGAGAATTAGTGACAGTTTACATAAAGCATTTAGCATGGACCTGTGCATATGCTACAATCTTAGCAAATAAGTCTCAAAATATTATATTAACAGGGGAGAGTGGGTGACCGGTGGAAGGTCTGGATTTCACTCTCCTTGTTTACACCCTCCTGAATGCAGTCCATTCCTTCCCCAGAGCTTCTTTATCCTCGCCTAGGACCAAGCTGTCCTGGTTTGTCTGTGGTCCTGTTTTCAGCCAGTGTTTCAGTCTTCACATTTCCTAATTTTCAGATTCTCCCAGCGAAAGATGCTGCAGGTTCTGCTCAGTGAGCTAGTGGCAGAGGGCCAGTGAACATTTGGTGAGGTGGCTGGTGGTGGGATGTGTCCATTTTGTCCTTTTCTACTTGGGAGATGGGTGGTGGGAAGCCGAGTGGCTGTAACTGGCTGCCCTTGGCACTTTGGCCTGATGGCCTGGTGTCATGGGATTGTGCCCAGCCTGCTTTGTGGCAAACAGCCAGTCCTCCCAGGCAAGGGGAAGTAGCAGATGGTGCAGGAAAGCTCTGATCTGCTGACCGTAGAGCTGATAGAAAATGCTCCTTACTCCATACGTTCAGCTGCACGAAGGAAGACTTTTGAATGTTTCCCAAGATGGGAACTACTGCTTCTGTGGATTTTAAAAAACAAAATGAAATAAGCAGTGGCAGCGCCAAAATAAAAACAAAAACAAGGACCAGAGAAACAAAGTAGAAGTCACGTAGGAAAGAAGGAGACTTAGATTTTCTCTGCTTATGGTTTTCTGCAAGATTCTTTAACTAGTCCTTGCTATTAGTTGCTTCCCAAAACAATGAAATGTTTTCCATGATACAGGTTTTATTTTCTGTCAACCCGAAGTACTGCTAGACTGGTTTAGAGTTTTTAGTCGTGTCATTAAAAGTCCTCTAGTAAAAATGCTCTAGTAAAATCGCTGCATATGGAAGAATTACACGAATGTCTTTGCATTAACCTCTACAACTGCATAATTTAGGGAAATTATTTTCTTTGTTGGCTGAGTTAGTACCAAGACACCAGAAGATGGCCGTTCTGTTGATGTTGAGAGTTTGTTAATTAAAAATATATACATTTGGGTAACATACATGAAGGATGGGAAAGGTGGATTTATTCGTGTTTGGCAGTAAAACGGAGCGTCTGCTGTATATTAAGAAGCCACCTCCAGTTGAACCAGACCAATTTTGAAACGAGGTGAAGTGTTCAATTCAGCTTCACCAAGAAGATTAAAAGACTTTTTCTAGGTTGTTTTCGAGACTCACTAAGGTCCCTTTGGGCCTTCCAGACCCATCTGTTTTGAAGCCAGATGGGAATTTGGAAGTGGTCCCAGGGAGCAGGTTTGTTTGGAAGTGGAGGTGGGGATGCTTGCAGGTATGTTTAGACCCTGGAGAATGTGGACTGAAACAGAACATTTGGTAGGTAGGACGATATGATTACACATAATAAATGTAAGGATTCCTTTTGGGCTTTATTTATTTTTAATAACTTATTTTTAATAACTTATTTAATAACTGACCTGGAAGTTGTTGTCTGATATGCAGACAAATGACATATCAGGCCAAGGCAAATTCCTTTTCTTATCAGAGAATGCAGTGCTATACTGTAGTCTGACTTAAAAGGACTCTTGTGTTGAAATCACATGAAATGATAAAAGAACTCTATCTTACATTATGTTGTTATTCTTTGCAACGCCATGTGTATGAAATTGATGAGTGACCCTTTTAATTTGTTGTTAAAATGTGTTTTGCAGACTACATTGACAACCACACAAAGAGAGCTGAGCCAGCTGCAAGAGCTTAGCAATCACCAGAAAAAGAGGGCTACTGAGATCCTGAATTTGCTGCTGAAGGATCTGGGGGAGATAGGAGGAATTATTGGCACCAATGATGTGAAGACTGTAAGCTAGCCTTTCTTTTATCCTCTCTACCTGCTCTTATAATGGCATGATTCTAAGCAAGCAGGGGCTGTGTTTTATTCTCCTAAGTATCCAGTGCTTAGCACAGTGTTTTGCATCTGCTATGTGCTTGATAATATTTGAATGAGTGAACGAAGGGCTGATTGAATGACTAAGTAAATGATTGGTTAAGGAGGAGAAAAAAATTTACCTTTCAATTATAGGAAATGTCCTCAAATCTTGGTTGGCCTTATGTAAGTTGGCTTATTCCTCAAAATTGCACACTAGTGTCACAGAGGTTTGGGACTGGATACGTTAAGCAAAAGTTCTACCCTCAGAAACGTTTCTCCTTTTCTATGAGAATCCAACAGAGTGAAAATCCCCAAACAATCAGTATGAATTAGGAGAGCTTTCAGCTGGAAGTAATAGGATTCTAACAGTGGCTTAAAAAAATAACGCCACATTTAATTATTCACAATATGAGAAGTCTAGAATCTTGTTATTCAGGTTGCGATCTGCATTCACCTGGGAACTTGTTTGAGCTATAGACTCTCAGGCCCACCTCAGACCTACCGAATTAGAATTTTCATTTTAGCAAGATTCCCCAGGTCATTCTTATGCTTCTTGAAGTTTTAGAAGCAAAATTTGGTTTCTTGCAGTATCTCAGCAATGTCAGGCATCCAGGCCTTTTCTTTTTTTTTTTTCTTAATTTATTTATTTTTGGCTGCGTTGGGTCTTCATTGCTGCATGCAGACTTTAGTTGTGGCTCTAGGCGCATGGGCTTCAGTAGTTATGGTACACGGGGTCAGTAGTTGTGGCTCTTGGGCTCTAGAGCACAGGCTCAGTAGTTGTGGCACACAGGCTTAGTTGCTCCGTGGCATGTGGGATCCTCCCAGACCAGGGCTGGAACCCGTGTCCCCCGCATCGGCAGGTGGATTGTTAACCACTGCGCCACCAGGGAGGTCCCTAGGCCTTTTCTTTATTTTCTTTCTGCTTTCCTCAGCCTATTGCCTTTTCACATCTGTAGATTTTTATCTCAAGGTAGCAAGATAGCTTCTATAGCACCAATCATCACATCCCCACACAACCACATCCAAGGCAGGATGGGCTGCAAAGGCAGCCAGCTTTCATCCAGGAGGGAACTATAATCCCAGAAATCCCCAACTGACATCCCCTCCCCTTATACTTTATGAAGGCCAGAATTGGGTCACACGGTCACCCCAAACTTCAAGGAAAGCTGGGAAAGCAAAGAGAAATAGTATTACTAGAATGGGCTTAAACTAACCATGATTAACCCCTTGGGTGGTGCACATTGGTGTAGCAAGGATGTAAGGGAGATGGGGAGAAAGAGGGTGGTATAACATTGTCTATGAGTTAGGAATAGGGAGAAAAGACAATAAACGATGTTATCATCTAAGAACAATTAACAGTTTGCCACAATATAGAGAGGACTTTGGAAAATAAGAAAGTGACATTAAACAAAACAGCTTTATTGAGGTATAATTGATGTAAAGTAAGCTGCACATATTTAAAGTATACAGTTTGAGAAGTTTTGACATATGTGTACACTCATGAAACCATCCCCACAATAAGATAATGAGCATGTCTGCCACCTCCAGAAGTGTGTAGGGCTATTTCTGGTCTCTCTAGTCTATTTCAGTGATCTAATCTTTATGCTGTACCACACTGTTTTGATTACCATAGCTTTATATGAACTCAGCCCCTTCTGTGGAGTAGCCATTGATTAAATGTGTGTGGATTTTATCAAGCCAGGGAATAGTGTTACAGTATTCAGCTTCCTCACAGGTCCCTAAAACCAAATTCTTAGAGTTTAGCCCTTCAGCCTTTAAAAGGCCAAATTCTACATCAGTCTGCTCTTTGGGAACACTCAGGTTTTGAGTTGAGTTTGTTAAATACTAGAGAAGCCTCCCCAAATTACTTTTGTTTATTGACATTTCTGGGAGACATTGAAAGTCCTCCTTCGATGGTATAACAGATCTAGGTTTAGAGTATATGGCTTCTTGTAAACCCAATCATTCTTTCATGGAACCTGTATTGTAACTGAATATTTCATGAATCTTTGCAAATGAATCTAATTTTAGCGAGGTACTATAAGATTAATCCTTTCCAGTTTAGTGATTTTGTATTTGAGGATTTATTTTTAGAAGCATATATTGGTGTTGAGCTATAAACTTCTGAGGTTGGGGTGATTAAATGGCCCTTGCAATATGAAGGTGCAGTTGATTTATGGGAAGTTGGTGCCTGCTGCTGATAATGATAAAGGAAGATATTTTTATGCTAAGTTCTAAAATAGAGCTGATGAAAAATGCTAATGAAATCAAGGAGTGTCTGGGTGCTTTGGAATTAAAAAAACAAAGAGTCCTTACCTTTGGGATATGAAGTATGATTGAGATTATTTTTAAATACTTTCAATGTTTTAAAGTTATTTTTGGATTCCAGAAATTGGATGCCCTAGTTAATTTCATTGGTAACTAAGTTCATTGATAACTTTCACTTATATAGCATCATATTCTTAATCGTTCTGTTTTTTTTTCTTACAATTATGATTTAATCATTAGGGCAATGAGAGCTAAAGGGGAGGAATTATGTGACTTTGGGCAAGTTACTTTACTTCTCTGGGTTTCGTTTTCCTAATCTGTAAAATGACAAGATGAGGGGCTTCCCTGGTGGCGCAGTGGTTAAGAATCTGCCTGCCAATGCAAGGGACACGGGTTTGAGCCCTGGCCTGGGAAGATCCCACATGCCGTGGAACAACTAAGTCCGTGTGCCACAACTTCTGAGCCTGTGCTCAAGAGCCCACAAGCCACAACTACTGAGCCCACGTGCCACAACTACTGAAGCCTGCGTGCCTAGAGCCCGTGCTCCACAACAAGAGAAGCCACGACAATGAGAAGCCCGCGTACCGCAACGAAGAGTAGCCCCCTCTCACCGCAACTAGAGGAAGCCCGTGCGCAGCAACGAAGACCCAACGCAGCCAAAAATCAAAACAAACAAATAAATAAAATTTTTTAAAAAAAAGGCAAGATGAGTCCAGATTATCTTGAAGGTTGTCAGCTCAGGAATTGCATGAGTTATGTGTATATTTCTTAGATCTATCATTGTGGGCACAGATACTTTTCTTACTGATTATGAATATTCAACTGATATAATTCTTTTGATCTAAAAAACGAGATCAAGGAAATCTTTTTCGGTGATCTTGTATTTTTATTCCTAAAATGTTGTTCGGTCCCCACAACATCCCTCCTAATAGTGCTCTGGGGTGAGAGGGAAAGATAGGTGTTGGAGTCTCCCTCAGTCCTCAGTTCCAGGATATGATGGGCCTAAACAGCAAGGAAACAGAAGAACCCATATTTCTCCAGCTCAATCACATCTGGAAACATTTTCAGAGCCCAGGCAATACTTTAAGTCAACAAAACGAGATGAGAGCAGCAGATGACAAGATGAGCCTAGTGTTGACTTTATTCAGGTTTATTAGCGAGCCTCCCCTTCCTTTCATGTTCCGATGTCACCGGTCTTTCTTTAAAACGAAGATTTCCAGATTCCTAGCCACAAGCAGAATAGCAGGTTGAGGTAGAGTGAAGGAGATGGATTGGGTTAGCTGCCTAATTTTCTTTCGACCTCAGGTCTGGCTGAGGTGGAGGTAAAGAAGTTCAAGCAGGTGACACAGACCCTGGGCCCCGGCTCCATCAGGGACCCGACTATGGGTGGAGCAGAGATGCAGATAAAACTGCTCCAGATCCTGGGTCTGAAGTCAGTCTTCAGCACCGACAGCTCCCTTTCCACCAACTTCTTAAACACGGCCCGGGGTCTGCTGGGGCTGGTCTCTGAGGTCCAGTCCCAAGCCGGAAGGGTGACTGGGGTCCCCACCCCCAGGAGAGCTTGCTCCTTCAGTCCCCTCTCGCCCCTCAAGCTCTTGGAAGCAACTGTATCATACCCTAGCTCTGTACTGCACTTATAAATAAACCTGACAATTCTGAGCACTTTTTTTAAAAAGGATTTTTTAAAGTCCCATTATGACTTTTAGGTCTTAGAATGTGAACAGTCACCTCACTTACCTTTTACTTGACCTAGAAATGGCACCTTGCTCAGCTGCTCCATGCTCTAGAGTCATGGGGTGGGCGTGGGGGGTGACTCCTTCCATACAGGCAAGATGGAAGGAGAGGCAGCGTCTTCTGCTGGATTAGTCATCCATACTGGATCGCACAGTCCAGTACGTACAGTGGAGTCATTGTCAGACCCAGGGGAGAGTTATGAAATAATAGTGCAGCAGCAAACTCTGATTCTTCTTTTTAAAATAACAGTATATACTGGAATTACTGAAAACTCTGAACTAAATATGACTAAATATATGAACTCATAAGTGGTAGGAAACCTTACAGTTAAAACGACTTGTTTGGAGTATTGTTTTTTTCCATCAGGTGTGGATTCAAAATCTCCTTTTAGACCTCCTAGGACAAGTGTAGGCTTCAGAAGTTATGGTTCTGGTTTAGGGGGAGAAATATCCAGCTCTCACTTTGGAGGAAGCCCCATTATTAAAGAGTGAAAAAAGTACATTTTTTTCACTCTTCCCCAATTCACATGGGACCTGGGCATAGCATACAAAGTGTCCTCATCTAAGGAGAGCCTTAGAGGAGGAGGTGTTTGTTCCCTTCTCATGATGCTCTACCTCTTGGTTCAGCAATGTTTTCCCACCAGGAGATGGTGTAGGTTGTGAATTCCACATGAAAGAGATGGATGTCCCCTTATCTTTATACAGAAGGACAATATGCAGGCACACCTGGTCAGGCTAAAGAATGAGCTTCTCATCTCTGTTCCACGTTGGACCAGTCACAAAGGCAGAAGGACAAAACTGAACTTAAAGACGGAGGGATTTTCTCACCCGTTACCTCCATAGTATTGGATTATAAAAGGAATGTAATGAGGAGTGGTGTTGGTAGGCAAATCGTTGGCAGTCAGAAATGTAACTAACTGATTAAAAAGAACCTCCATCAAAGTAAGATGGAGTCAGATATTGATGCTCGTGGTATTTTCTTGCTGTTAACATAGATTCTGCATTGTGTTGATGGACACTAGAGTCATTTAACAAATACTGTTGTGGAATTTTTAGGGGAAGGTTGACACCAAATTACAGGCACTCGGCACTGTCTAGTGTATTTCCGATCTGCTACCAATTTTCCAGTTGATACACGATTCCATATTCCTAGCTCTTAAATGTTTACTGAAAAAATAGTCATACGATGAGTTAATGACGGCAATAATGACAAAAGTGGGCAGCGAACTGTGGAACGTCAAAAAACCATAGTTGGAATCATTGTCTTAGAACCGACTGAAGCCTCTGTTCACGGGCTGGGTACTGGACAGGGCTCTTGTTTTCTCCTGAGGTGCTAGGATGCCCTCTGGTGGTTAAACAAAATATGCACACAGTTGCTTTGCTCGTGTGGTAAGTTGCCCTTCAAGACCATCTCTGCTTCTCAGCAAATGGGTTTTTATCCCAAGTAGCTTGCTGCAGTGTTTGTTTCCAGTAGAACTCTGAAAATTAGACAACAAACATGAGATGGTACAGGAATGCTCGTTGTCAGAATCTTTTCTTCTAAAGGTGGATTTACATTGTTATTCTTAGGTGATCTAGATTCCTGTGTGCTTGGAAGGGACAGTTGGGTAGAGGCAGGGAAACAGATGGGTAGTACTGAGAAGTTATGCAGGAAAATTTTCATCCAGAGGTACTTTTGGTAATAGCACATTCTTAGTCATTAGATTTTTTGTTTAATCGAAGACTACATAGAAAATCCTTTTTATTTCAACCCTTGCTTATGGAAACATATTCAAGCTATTAGACTGCTTGCCTCTCTGGATAGCAGATTATAGAGAACATAATTGAAATTTTGATTTGACTTCTTATGGGGACTCAGAGTCACCTTCGGAGCACTGGGCTTTGCTGCTGTTCCAGAAATGTAAGGTGTAAGACATTGAATGGAACACCTCTTCAGAGTTATCTCTTTTTAAAATTTCAATGTCTTTTTCTTCTATCATCTCTTTTATCCTAAAAATCAGTTGTAATGAAAAACCTGGTTAATTGTAGATTATGTTAGTAGAGGTTTTTTTTTTTTTTTTTTTTAATAAATGTATTTATTTATTTATAGCTGCGTTGGGTCTTCGTTGCTGCGCGCGGGCTTTCTCTAGTTGTGGCGAGCGGGGGCTACTCTTGGTTGTGGTGCATGGGCTTCTCATCGCAGAGGCTTCTCTTTGTTGCGGAGCACGGGCTCTGGGCGCGTGAGCTTCAGTAGTTGTGGCTCATGGGCTCTAGAGCGCAGGCTCAGTAGTTGTGGTGCACGGGCTTAGTTGCTGCCTGGCTTTTGGAATCTTCCTGGACGAGGGCTCGAACCTGTGTCCCCTGCATTGACAGGCGGATTCTTAATGACTGCACCACCAGGGAAGCCCCCAATAGAGGTTTTTAATTGAAAGTTTTACCCGAGGTTTCAGAGAACTTGGGGTTGAACTTATAGTACCTTTTGGAGAAAAATTCTCAGCTTGTGGTCCTCCAATTAGGGTTTCTTAACCAGAAACCCACAGACATCTTGAGTTCCCATGGACAGGTTTCAGGGCCCCCATGAACCTCTGGAAATTGTAGGCATAGTTGAGTGTGTTCCCTCCTGTGCTCAGTTGGCAGATGTGAATGGAGTCATTGAGGAGGAATTCACCATGGCCCGGCTGTACATCAGCAAGATGAAGTCGGAGGTTAAATCTCTGGTGAACCGCAGTAAACAGCTCGAGAGCGCCCAGATGGACTCCAACAGGAAGATGAATGCCAGTGAGCGGGAGCTGGCAGCCTGCCAGCTGCTCATCTCCCAGGTAGACCACGCCTTTCTTCCTCATTTCACACCCTTGTGCTCTGGAAAGTCTGCTTCCTCCGTGCTCTTACTGGGGCTGTTGGTGCATAACAGGGATAGTTGATGGACTTTGCTTTACGTAAGACTTGTCCATGGCCTCCTAGGCAATGACAGCCCAGGCTTATTTCTTAAGGCTAGGTTTAGTTGTGTGAATTACCTGGATTACCTTCAGTCCCTGTTTAAAGGATGTGTCTATATATCTTTATCTAGCTAAGTAGGTAGGTGGGTAGGATAGATAGAGATATGTAATGAATAGACAAGACTGGGTGGCATCTAAAACTCCTATCAGCTAAGGCAACATTCTTTCGTCTTTTAATCTCTACCATAGGTCCAATTTAATATGGGACAACAGAAACTACCATCACTACTACTATTATTAATAGTAGTAGCAGTTAACCTTTTACTGAGTGCTTACAACACACCATATACTATGTTAAGCACTTTACGTGCATTCTCTCACTTGATCTTTAAAAAATTCCTGATGGGCAGGGTTTATTTATTTATTTATTTTTTGGCCTCTCACTGCTGCGGCCTCTCCCGTTGCAGAGCACAGGCTCCGGAAGCGTAGGCTCAGCGGCCATGGCTCACGGGCCCAGCCGCTCCGCGGCACGCGGGATCTTCCCGGACCGGGGCACGAACCTGCGTCCCTTGCATCGGCAGGTGGACTCCCAACCCTGAGCCACCAGGGAAGCCCTCAGGTTTTATTATTGTTCCTTTTTTTTTTTAATAAGGAAAATGAGACTGGAAAGATTAAATATACTGTCCGAACTCATATAGCCAGTGAAGGACGGAGCTGGGACTCAAACCCAACTGTGTGTGAACTCAGAGCCTTGAAGGAATCTTCAGGCTCCCGGGGCATATGTCATCCCCTCAATGACTAAGCCTAGTCTTCTTTCATTAGAAAGGTATTTTCATTTTAGTAAGGTGGTTTCAGAAAATAGCAGCCTCGTTTCTGACCTGCCACTGATACCTGAGCTTGGTGTTTGGGCTTGAGGCTTCTGTGAGTGGTCCAGTGTGTGCTACTCACTGCCTTAGCCCAGGCATTAAAACAGCTAAAGTCATTTGGGGTAAACAGATACCAGTATGGAATGGCGCATCAGACAGTGCTGAGAAACAGACAAAAGCATACTTCATCCTGTACGCTTTTAAACATAGGGATGTGTCATCATAGAACCATCTCCTTGTCTCCTACCATAATCATCTAAGGGATGCAAATTAAAACATCAAGTTTCCATTTTATAAATAACATAATAAGCAAAGATGTATTAATATTTAAGAGACTATTCAGTGCTGGTGTGTGATAGTGAAATTTATTGAGAAAAGTATAATTTGGTCGGTCCTTTTGGAAAGGACCTTGGGAATCAAAAACCGTAAAAATGTAAGTATACTTTGGTCCAGTAATTTCGCTTATAGCATTTTTCATTGATGAAAATGAAAATTTTTCATTTCATATGGTATTATCATTCCCTGATTAAAAATATTAGCATTTATATGGAAGATGTTTAGTGCAGTATTACTTTCATTTTAATTAAATAAAATAGGCAACTATCTATTGAGAGACTAATAACATAAAGTGACATGGAAGGATTTATGCAGCTCTTACAAAAAAATTGATAAAACCCAGTCATTTGGAAAGTATAATTATATAAAGTAAAAATGAAAATGCTGAGTTACAGATCTATGCTATGCCTTGCAACTTGGTAAAATATGCATTCATATAGATAAGACCAGGAATATAGGGGGAAATGGTTAATAAATTAGAGTGGTTAATGGGTGAAATTTATTCTACTTTTTCTGTATTTGCTTTACTGTTTGACATTTTTATAATTTGTGAAAGTTGAGAGGAAAAACACTAAACATTAGGACATAGTACACCTCAAGTCTGATTTCCAGATCACCTGTTACACTGAGAGCATGTGCTTCTGGAGGTCCCTAATATTTGGAGGCCAAGGCAAGGGCACAGACAGAGGCCCTGCGGCCTGCAGCCCAGTGTCTCTCCTTGCATCTGGATGTACCAGCCTCCACGTCCAAGTCGGGTCCCTTCTGCACGTTCTGTGAACTGATGGAAGTGTGTAACTGTGTCAGCTGTAATCTATGCAAATGGATGATGGGAGCCACACTGCTGGTCCTGGGAGTGGCCTTAGGGCCATTGGAGTAAGGAGTTTCTAGTTTCCCAGACTCACTGTGGTCTAGAAGAGGATGTGGGCTCCAGGTGGGCACGCTCCCTTGGCACATGAACTTTGCTCAGTGGAGTGGGATGCAGCCAGAGGACCGCCCAAGTGGGGTGCTCTAAAGTGTAGGGCCCAGGACAGTTGCCCAGATCTTAGAGTGACACTCACTCAGCGTATATGGGGTCGGAGTCAAGAATATTAGGACGGTTTTAGTTAGACAGTGCTTTCTGCATTAGCAACAAATACAGTTTTCCATTAGGTGCTATTTTGTACTCTGCTACAATTTACATAAAGCCAAAGATTCAGTCATAATTGCCTGGGGTTCAAAAGTAAGAGAAATCTTGGCTCTTTATTTTCTGACATGATCTAAGGAATCTGACAAAATGTCTCCAGCTAAAGTGCTGTTATCTCCTTTGTTTACACTCATCCTTGTCACCAAAAGCTATGCTTATAAAACAACTGCTCCAACAGGGTCCCATTTCCCAGAGGTTATTTCGTTAGATTAGAGCTCAGTCTCCAGAGCGTTCCTGCCTAAATATGAACCCTGCAGATCTGGAGCGGGGAGTGTTTGCATATTTCCATCTGCCTAGAAGTGACTACTGTCCCTAGTCAGTCACGAGCTCTCATTCATTCATTCACACCATTATTATTTATTAACTCTCTATTTTCATGGAGCTATAACAAGTAGAAAAAAAATAGATAAATCAAGCAGAAGTTAGGTGCTATAAAAAAATGTTGGGGCCTGAGTGATAAGGCTCCAGCCAGGACCATGTCTGGGAGGGTGCTGGGGAGAGCTTCCTAGGGAGAGGAAAATGTAAATGCAAAGTCCCCGAGACAGGAATTGGTGTGTTTGAGAGACAGAAAAAGAAAAGACATAATATTTGAGTTCCAAAGAAGAAATCCAGAGGTGCAGTTTCAAAGAACGAAGCCCTCAGCCTTGACATTTTCCCAGTCCCTTTCTCTCCGGCACACTCTGTTTTCTGTAAGGAGGAAAAGCAGCTTGGGCTTTGGTATCTCACTTAAGAGGACAGTGAGGAAGGGCACGGCCGTGAGTGGGTCTGTGGGGAACGAAGCAGAGAAGCACATGGAAGAAAAAGGACAGATCCCAAACAGAGGGTAGAATATGCACCATTTGGGTGCTGGGGCTCAAAAAAAGGACTCAAGAACTCCTCCTCTCTTGCGTTGTCCCATCAGACAGTCCCGGGCGAGCCAGGATGGCCACTTGCTAGTCATTCACAGCTCCCTTTTATCTGTTCGCTTGTTTAAAGCATGAAGCCAAGATCAAATCCCTGACAGACTACATGCAGAACATGGAGCAGAAGAGGAGGCAGCTGGAAGAGTCCCAAGACTCGCTCAGTGAAGAGCTGGCCAAGCTCCGAGCCCAGGGTGAGTAACTGACCACTTTGCAGGTGTCTGACTCTCAGCCTAAATCAGACACTCTCTAGTTGGCTGGACTCATGATGTTTAATTTTGCTCGATTAAAGCATTTCTAGGTCTACTGAAAACAATGGCATAATTGGGCAGGGGGGGAGGGGAGAGAAACGTCTAGAAGACTGCCCCCACCCCATATCTGCTCCTCTTCCCATTTTCCCTCAGTCCACCCTGCTGCCCAAGTCAGAATCCTCTCCCTTCTTTACCTCCTGCGTCCAGTCTGTCCCCAAGGCCTGTCCATTCGACCTGCCAGGGGCTCCTCTGGTTCTGCCCTTCTCCGTCTTCACTGTCGCTGTCCTTAATCCTAGTTAAGAATTGTGGCCACATCCATCTACCGAGGAGCTCATCTCCAGCCTGCTCTAGGCTGACCACTGTGCTGTATTCCAAAGGAGGATTCCAAAATCAAGCTCTACCTCGTGTCCAACCCCAGGCCTCTGACCCTTCCCTGGTGTCCTGTTGTGCTTAATATAAAGCCTGAACTTGCACCCATGGCTTACCTGCATCCCCCATCCTTTTTTTTTTTTTTTTTTTGCGGTACGTGGGCCTCTCACTGCTGTGGCCTCTCCCGTTGCGGAGCAGAGGCTCCGGACACGCAGGCCCAGCGGCCATGGCTCACGGACCCAGCCGCTCCGCGGCACGTTGGGATCCTCCCGGACCGGGGCATGAACCCGCGTCCCCTGCATCGGCAGGCGGACCCTCAACCACTGCGCCACCAGGGAAGCACCATCCCCCATCCTTTGAACAAGCTCTTCCTTTGCCAGGCAGTCTCCTGACCCCCTTTGAGGAGTGAAGTGCCCAACACATAGGAAGCACTCAATAAATGTGAATAAATAGAAGAGATTTGAGAGAAATGACTAGAAATGTAGAAACCAGAACAGGATTAAGAATGTAGGTGTTGTGGTGAAACGGGAACACACAGATCATATTATGAGTTGCAACGAAAACTGGTAGAGTCCCTTTGGAAAGCATTTTGAAAATACATATTAATAATTCCAACACTTCTCATACCTTTTGCTCCTCAAATCTCATATATTCATTGCAGAATTACTTATATTAGTGAAAAAGAAAAGGAAAGGAAGCCACCTAAATGTCCAACAGTTATATGAACTATGGTATGTTGTTTAAAAGAACAATTTTTTTCATCTTGGAGATGAGTACATGAAGGCCGTGCAGCAGTGCTTACAGTGCATTAGATTAAACATCATAACATGTAATTTCATCTTTACTGTGGTTATAACATTGAAAAATCAATAGATGCTTATGTTCCAAGGCCTGTAAATTAATATTTGAAAGGAAATGGTTTTGATAGGGTAATAGGATTGGCGATGATGCTACCCTTTTTAATGTCCTTTATTGTTGTATAGTCATTTGCTCAGGAAATACATTCTGCTTCAAATGCCAAGGTAAATTAACGATGAAAGAGAGCACACTCACCCCCGCTTTGACCTTGTAAGGTTTTCTTTATGTCATAAGGGGTGTTAGGAACAGAATGCTCCGCCCAAAACTTGACATGGGAAAGAACTTTTCCCTCTGCTAAATGGCTTCTGCAGTGGTGCCACTGAGTGGAAACGGAATCAAAGCAAGAAGAGCTGAAATAAAGTGAAACAGACTAGAGAGGATACTTAGTGACTTGAGTGTCACTGTCCGAAACGCTTTTGCTCCCTCCACCTCGGGCTGCTCATTGCCAGCTGTGCTCAGGGAGGGCCACTGACCAAGAATAGGATGGGACTGGTCCCTCCCTCCCAGAGGTGTGCCACATAACAGCCCTGCCCCCAGTACGAGGCGTGGCCTTCCTGTTTAGTCTGGAGAGTGTTATTTTATATTTCTCTTTTCTTTGTGCCTATCCTTAGGTTGTTTTCCTGCTCCAGATTCTTAGAGAATACCATGGGAGGTAAATTAGCTCTTTACGAAACTCTAATAGTGGCACGAATCCAAACACCACTAATATTCGCAGAGTGCATTATCATTGACAAAGCACGTTTATGTGTGCTGCCCAGGAGTAGCTCACCAGGCCTGGCGGGGAACCAGTCCTCCGAGGCGTGAGGTGACAGCTAGGTCAGCTGCAGCGTGACCACTCCAAGTTAGCACTTCCCCTCCAATCGCCACTGTCCCCGAAGGACTTCGATAATCTCCCAGGAGAGATCAGCCTTGATTTAAAAAGCCAGAAGTCCTCCTTCAGAGGCATGTTCCTTTATACCATGGTTGTAATTGGTAAGATAAGCTGATGTTTCACCCACCCCATTCTTTTTTCGTTTTCTAATTTTTACTTTTGGATGTGAGTCCTGCCAGTTAAATCTTAAATCATCGTTTAAAATTCAAAACAGAAAAAATGCATGAAGTCAGCTTCCAGGATAAAGAAAAGGAACATCTGACCCGGCTGCAGGATGCTGAGGAAATGAAGGTGTGTACGCAGCCCCTCCCAGAAGCCCAGCCCGTGTTTGGACTGGATTTCCTTGATCCAGGAAAATCCAACTCCTTCAGAGATGTGTGTGGCAGGGTAGGAGGGAGGCGGGTTGGGACTTGGGCTGGGCATCAGAGCTGCTCGCAGAGTGTGGCTGGGCTTAGCAATGAGATGGAGGTGGAGGTGTCCAGGAATCCCGAGGTGTCTGTAGATAGTAGTTGTGTTGTGTTGTGTTGGTACATTTCTCTTCCCGTTCATGACCAGGAAGGAGAGAGCACACCTTCCAGTCACTGCATGGGGCCACTCGGCAGAACTTCTGCAGAAATGGTCGCCGCTTCTTTGAATAGAAGGAAACATCTCTCCCCTCTATCTTTTAAGGAAACAGCCCAAATTTGAGTTTTCATCTTAAACGTAGAGATCTTTATTTTTGGTCACATTTTTTTTTTTTTTTTTTTTTTTTTTTTTTT